ATACTTGTTGCCCCTATCAGAGATGTCCATTGCATCTGAAGACTAGGACTTCTATAGACAAACTGTATTTTATCTTCTAGTCAGTCAGATTTATACAAATTTCAACTAATTCTGTGGCCATTTATCATGGCTTCTGTTAATTTACCAAATGGTAAATTAATGTTCTTCTATGAAAGAACTGCTGTCAGTTCCTGGCAGTTTAATCTACCAAATGGTAAATTAAGGCTTGAAATTTTGGAGATTGTCCCTGGTAACTTCTTAAAAAAATTGTGCTGCATTCACTATTCTCCCATCTTCAGAAATGAGTGAAATTTTAAAGAAATGTTACACACTACTGCCAATAATACCATCCTTTATTTCTGTAAGACCCTTGAGTGAATATCATAGTGATATCTTAACATATTTTATTCCGTCTCTTTATTCAATCACTTCTTCCACAAAATCTTTTGTTTCAGACATTTCTTGCTGAGTCCTCTCAAAGGGTTTGGGTCTTCTTCCAGTCTCTCTACAGTGACCATCAGAGCAGAAAACTTGTTTGCCATCTCTACCACAACATTGCCCTTGCTGAGCTCTCCTTAAACACCCTCTCATTAGGTGACTTAAAAGAACAGGCAGAGTGCTTTTAATGTGTTGGGAAAAGGATTTAGACCTGCCCTGCTACATAGACCTGTGCCTCATTTGCTATAGAGCTGGATTGTTCGGGTAAGGATTTCAGGAAGAGAAAAATGGTCTCAAGGCAAGATATCTAAGCAATGGTCTGGAACTCTGGATTTATGTCACTCCTATAGGTACTGGGCAGGTGACTTAAATTAGTCTTTTCTTTGCTCTGTTTGTTCACTTCTGATTTTCTGGGTGACTGATTTGATACCTCTGGTATACAAAGCATAAAATATTTTGAGTATGTAAAGAAGCATACCAAAAACTCAGACCTCACTTCAAATCTGACATATTTGAAGGCTTGTGGTGTTTTGTTTTTTTTTCCATCTCTCTGTGTCTCAGTTCAGTACATGCAAAACGGAATAATACTGCTACCCACCTCAGAGGTTTTGTGCACATAAATTCATTAAAGTTTGTTAAATGCTCAGGTACTATAGCAACAAGAACCATAAAAAAACCTGGAAGGGACGTAGTAATTATCTTCGTAGCAGGGTTCGGATACTGTGCAGTAAATAAGGCATGGGGGACATATTGAGCAATGGGAAGAGAACTAAAATTGAATATTTGCTTTTGAACTAAGCTCCTTCTGTCCTGTGCACAGACTAGAGCACAAATAGTTTAAAACAAAATTCAAATGTGATCATGTAATTAGACAATGTCATAATGCTCACACCCATTGGGGCTCATTTAATGCTATACATGGCAATTTTTAAGATTTGGCAAAGATACGAGCAATTAAAATAGGTTTTTACATTAGATAAGGGGTCAGGAAACTAATGAAAGGCAATCCAATTCTCTTCTGCTACTCCACTGAATTGCACTTTGAAGGGGGTAATAAATATTAAATACAAATTTCAAAAGTACTTTAGAGATTTGAAAGCCCAAACTCTATGAGTGTCGCTGCAACTAATGCTGCTGTTTCTCCAGCTAGAAGAAACTCTGCTAGTTCCAGAAGTGGAAGCACTATGAAGAGAAAAAACACTGAGAGAAGAAACGCTTGATAAATTGGCTTTAGCCAGTGTATCTGGGATAGTATCATTGCATAGCTTTCTACAGTGCCATCTGAACACATACAGATAAGACATGGAAAAGAATCTGATTAATATGATTAAGTTTCACAGCATTTGATGCTTATTTATGGCCACCTTTTGCTGACTTTACTTAAAATGATTAACATCTTACTGCAAAAGCTTTCCTGCTAAACTCAGTGGGGCTGCTAATAGTAAATATATTCAGAGCAAGGGGTTCATAATCTCTCCACTGTGGAGAAAGAGAGAAAGAAGTAAAGAGAGAGGAAAGGAGATATAGAGGAATTATAGAGATATTTATTCTTCAATTGTTTATACATACTTCAGCCAAGTAAATTCTTTCTGTAAGACTGAGTAACTGTGGGTAACCTTAATTTCCATACACAGCAGAAATTCTTTATTTTAAAGTCTTGCATGAAATGTTTATTTATAGGTGTGATGCTCTGGCTGATTGTAAAGCTTCCATTGATTAGCACAAGGCCCAAGTTTCACCATTAATAAACCATTTAATCTACCTAGAAATGATGAAGGACTCAGATAACCCTGCCAGAATTTCATTTTAACACCCAAATAAGGGAAAGTTTTTTAAGACTGTGGCATCCAGTAAGCAACTTTTTCCAGCAACCTAAGCAAAAGCAACCATTTGTATTTTTAAGAAAATGGGCTATAAGTATTTTCTATTTGTCAGGATTATCCTTATGATTTAGTTATTTTGTTATTGTGTTGTAAAATATTTAATGTTTAAGAATTTAGACAACTGCAGCAAATGCAGTCAGTTAACTGGTCATTACAATAACCACCATCACAGCAATGGAATCCACATATTTTTTTTCCTGTAGGGTTGCATTTGTTCTACTAGTATGCACATATATTTGTTTTTTTCTTTAATGGAAGAATCGTATTTGGGCATTCATTATTGACACACACAATCAGATTTTAAGTGCAGCTAAGTACACCATCTGGCTTTTCTTTCCCTCTATGCCTCTATAGCCATACACAGTCGTCTGCTATTCCAAGGAGTGTCTGGCTTCTATTATAGCTGCACCAGTTGCACTACAATCAGCTGAGTAGGCATTTCCCTTATGAACCCTGCTTTTCAGTGTTTAACAACTAATTCGAAACTGCATCAAGCTCAAACATGACATGCACATTTGTAGACCAGATGTGGTTTTGTTTATCCTTTTATTTTTAAACGCCAAAAATGGCAGGGTTTAAAAAGTCCATCCAAATAATATAACATTTATGATCAGCAAAGCAGATCTGCTGCCAATTTGGGGATACGGTCACAGGACATTTGGAAGCGGGTCTTAACTAGTCTTTTGGTCATCATTTGTATCATTCTTCCCTAGCTAACTACTAATAGTATACAACGTGTACTGCAAACCACATTTAATGTTAGGGCTTAAGCATATCTATGACAAACTCCTGGCATTTGGCATACAGGGAAATTGTGCTGATTTACCCTGCAGCTAGACAGGCAGGATTCTATTAATCCCTGTGTAGAGGTAAAAATAGTCTTTATATTTCTCTCTAAATCTGAGAAACCCAAGGAGAGAGATAGAGGAGACCTCCAGAGAGAAATTCTGAGAAACAGCTCAAATTCATAAGAGGCCATAAAAAGCAAAGAAAGAGGGAATGAATTAAAAATATTTTCATTTTAGTTTTTCATTTAAATTCATTTTGTCATTTTTTCTGACCATCTGAGCTTAGTGTTACGAAGATTCATTCCAGAAATATAGCTAATTTAGGGGATCAAAATCAGCACAAGACCAAGATCTACCAGGAATATCCCTACTTTATCTGAAATTTCTTGAGGCACTTATTTTCCTAAATATGCCTATAGGTGCCTGTCCTGGGGCAATGAATGCTTACATTCCACTTAACACTCCACTGCATTACAGCTAAACTCCACCTCAGCTTAAAGTCCTCTTCATCCTCTTGCCAGCTAAAGCACTCAGCCAGAATGCAGGAGTCCTGAGCCCCCGTGCTGAAGGGCAACCCATCCACACCACCTCCAGTAACTGCACCATGGCTCCTTCAGAGTAGCATCACAGTTCTGAAATAGCTTCAGGAGGCTTCTTTGCACATACCTAACTAATTAACATGCTTGAACCATTTCAGACTGCTGGAGACCTGGGTGTCTCAATGCCTCAGTGAATGCTCTAAGGAAAACACCCATTCCTGCCTGATTGTTAAAAGAATAGAGAGAGCTGGCATCAGTCCTTTGAAGAAACAGTTACTGTCACCAGGAAAGCAGCCTAGGTTTGTGAAGACAGTGGAGGAAGGCATTTACCCCTCACCTGGAATGATGCTGCAAGTACCAGAGGAGAAAACGAGTCATAATCTCAGGCGTTACTGCTTCCCTGCTGTAGTTTGATGTGTTCAACACCAACAATCATTCAGGTAATTATGGGTGGATTAGGGTATATGGAGGTGTATGAGCTGTACACAGAACTCAGGTAAATGGAGATCAGACACTCAGCATCTATAGATAATTATATTATTAAAAAGAAACAAATAAAGCTTTACTAATTCAAGCAGCAGGCCTGTTTGTTTAGGGTTTGTGTTTTTTTTTTTTGTAACAGAGGTTTCTGTGTTAGTATACTGTGCAATTAGATGTCTCATGTTTTGATACAGAAGAGAAAAATAAAGCATGACTCCAATATTAGACTAGAGCTGCTTTTTAAGCCATTAAAAAGGCTGGTATTGAACGTAAGGCATGCATCTGCCTTTCTACATTTCTCCATTGGCAGTACTTTTTGCCCCCAGGAGCCTTTCTGAGCAACTTCCCACTGCTCCTTTTCCCGCATCCTGCTATTCTTACTTTCATCCCATGCTGTTTCTTGGTTTCTGCGCACCCTCCTCCATCTACAGCCAAGGACTGCAGGCCCAGCTGTTGTCTTGGTTCTCATTAAGAAGATTCAGTATCCAGTGTAAACTGATAGGGACAAGATTTAGCAGAGGGCTGTTAGTGTTAGGGTAGTATGGTTAGGTCGTGGTTGGACTCGATGATCTTTAAAGATTTTTTTCAACCTGAGCGATTCTATGATAGGCGACGTTATCAGTTTCATAACTGAGGCAGTACCTGACTGTAAGATGAAAAATGTTCTGAGAACAATTTCCCTGTAGATCTGTCTTCAACAAAGGAAAAGATGAAAAGCACATGAGAATCTTAAACAATAATCCCAATGAAGTCATGAAAGTTACTCATCTTCATGAGAGTAGATATATAAACAAACCTTCATAGGATAAGAGTATATATTTTAACATAATTACTTCCTTATCTCATTCCACAGGCATACAGAACCAATCCTTGATCCTGTGATGGCCTCTTCTCAATATCAGCTGTTCAACTGACCAGTTACTTTCTGGCTGGTCTGCTCTAAAAACTCTTGCCCTCTCCCTCCACGCATGCCTGTGGTGCCAACAGGGCCCACTTTCACTTCCACACTGGTCATATATTCCTAACATAAAATGTGTTCTGAGACACTAAAGTAGTCCTTGACACCAATCTGAGAACAGATGATGAAAAGCAGCAACCTAATTTACTCATGTTGACTGAGATCAGAAGCAAGCAAGTGGCAGGTACATTTAGACTCCAGAAAACCACTCTTTCCTCTGTGCTTTATGCATCTGTGTTCTTTAAATCTTATTTATAGATTTACCTTTTTCAACATAATAACTATTGGCTTCTCAAAGGCACAACCATTGTGTGAAATTCAAACAAGTATAAATCCTTCATTTTTATTTTAGTGTCATTTTATCTTGTTTTTTCAAGAAGAATGTTACAACATTTTATAGAATTTCACATCAATATGTTATTGCCTAAGATATCATACAATATGTATTAAAATATACAGTATGTATTAATATAGCAGTTACAGGCAGTGCAATTGAGATATGAAGTCTGCAAGTCAGAAAGGAAGCTAGCAATAGTCTGTCTCCTTGGTAAACCCACATCCACAGCATGTAGCTGAGTTGTGTAGTCAAAAAATGTTATTGTTGTTATTCTGATGATGACTCTGCTCTTTATGTACTCAGCAATTTTACAGGTACCCAGAGACATAGCTTAGGAGATTTATAGTCCATAGGTTAGGAATAAGGACCTATTTTTTACTAGAAAGATGTGCTTGATGAAGCAGACACTACAGTGAGCTTCAGAAAACATGAATTAATATCCCAGTAAAGAAGCCCTCACTGACTTGACAAGTCAATCACCTCTGTGCTTCCCTGGCACAGAAAGTTTTTGTCTCATCAAAAGGTGATCCATCAGAGAAAGGGAAGACTTGTTCTGGCTCATGGTGTCCAACTCTTTGGCTTGCCCGGGCTGCATTGAGTGAAGAACATATCCATAAGTTGCTCTGAAAGTAAACTCCTAATTATTTCCATGGAAACTACAACAACAACAAAAAAAAGAGAACAATAACACTACTTGATAGAGCAAATTCTTAGCTACAGAAAACACTCTTTTTCAACATAGTCACCACCATTAGCTATGCACTTTCACCTGCAGTGAACAACAGCCTGCAGGCCATGGTCATAAAAATCTGTACCAGCAGAGGTGACCCACTGCCTCCACAGTGGAAATGTACCACTCAAAGTGTCACTGCGCTCACAGCCGCTGTTTGATCTCCATTCAATAAGTGGAAGTGAATGTCAGTGGGTGCCGTTTTTTCTGCATGGAGGAATTAAACAACACATCTGTACTTCATACACACTTCCATGTCAGACACCATTTTGTCAGACTGCCCCTCTGCTGCCATCTCTCACACAGCAAAAAAACATAATGGAATATTTCTGGGAAGGTTCCATCTCTGCTGCTATGCCACCAGTATCTGCCTCTGACATTGTGAGACATCATAAAATAGGAGCAGCCCTTGTAAAATAAGCAATATAGTTAATGTGTAATTAACAAAGTATTTTAATTCCTAATATTTTTCTTTTTAAAAAATAAAAAATTAAAAAAAAAGAGGAATAAAGCCATAAGACTAGTGGGATATTTAACCCCATTTTTATGCAGCTAACCCATCAGCTGGTTTGATGGCAGTGGCTGCAACTCTTAGTGAGGTCTCAAAGGGTTCATCAGATTTTTGAGGAAACTTTACTCTTCCTGTGCTTCTCCCTCAACAGCTGATCACAAATGTACATACTGCCAATAGTTTATGACATGAATGAGGTGTGATTATGAAGTGAAGGATATTTCTCTCTGGTAAGAGAGGGATTATGAAAATCTGGTAAAGTGACACAATCAGATTTTTGAGTTGAAGATCTGAATGCAACTGTATGCATTCCACTTGAGAACTGTAAGCAACGTATTTATATCAACAGAAAATAGCGTCACAAACATAAAATGATTTTTTTTTTTTTTTTTTGCAATCTTGAAACCTACTCTTAAAATCCTTTATCAAAACAGAAAGCACAGCTGTGTATTCTTTGCAGAGCGCTGTGCTTAGCCAATGTATCAAAATGCAAACACCTATTTGCCATCACTTGAGTCAGCACTGCCCTCCCTGTGCCCTGTTGTCAGCCAGCACAGTGCTGGTAGCACACTGTGGTTGCTGCTCAGCCCACAACTTCAGGCAGAGCTGCTGCTGTGTGGATATGGGTAGCCACCTTGCCAGCTGGGCCAGGCTGCAGACAGATCACACACCACAGGTTGGATGTTGTTGTGCTTCCTTCATAACAGCTTTCTCCATATTGAGTCCTATCTTCTTCCTCATGCACATCTGCTGAGAATAGAATTTATTTCAAAGACAGAACGTGGATCAACAAGGGGTAACAACCACAAACTGACTCTCAAATTGTTTTCTGGTGCTTGCATAATTAACATCAGTTGCTCTTTTAGTGAAACTTCAGGACTTGAGCTGCATCTCCTGCCTGGAGAGTCACAGCATGACACATAGCCTGTGCTTGGGAAGTTATAATACAACCAGCACCCCTTCCTCATTGCTGGAATCAAGCCCACAGCAGAGCCCAACAAGACTCTGGGATGGAAGCTGTCACACTTTTCGTAACATTTAAATCATAGAATCATATAATGATAGAATGGCCTAGGTTGAAAAACCTTTGTGAAACCACAAAGATCGTCTAGTTTCAACTCCCCTGCCACAGGCAGGGTTTTGCTAGTCACTAGACCAGGCTGCCCAGAGTCACATCTAGCCTGGCATTGAACACCTCCAGGGATGCGGCATCCACAACATCTCTGGACAACCTGTTCCAGTGCATCACCAACCTCTGAGTATTATTAAAATACACAACAGTGAGTGAAAAAAAAGTATGCAAAAGAAAAGTAGAAAGAATGGGTGATTTATTGAGAAATGACAGCATCTGTAAAGCGGAGCTACTTGTGAACTCCGTGAGACTGTTGAACTTTTACTTGCATGCAACTTCACAGCTGCATAATGAAGCTCCCTCAGAGTGTTATTCAGGACTGAATGTATGAAAGAAAGAGTTAGGGAAAAAGAGAACATGGGAATCAGGAAAAAAAAGAAAAGAGTAAGTGCAAACTAAAGTTGCTAAGATGTAGAAGAACTGCTAAACGGCTGGTGTAATTACAGATGGTTGGAGAAATGTCTTACCACGTTGCCTGACTTAAGTCTTCCCTTCTCACCATGCTGGTTGTTGTAAATCCCCTCACCAGAGCTTAACTGCATTGTTTAGTGTATAAGGAACATTGATGCCTATGACTGTGAATTCTGTTCCTTCAATGGTTATCTGACTTTTGATTGCTGTACAACTAAGCACCACACTCTGTTGAGTTGCCAGAGACCCTCTGTTACAGTTGGTGCCACAGCTAAAAAGATTACTGTGGTGAAAATGAAAAACCGAAATAAACAGGGAAGGAATGCTTACCTGTATCTAAAGATCTAAGTTTGCAGGAAAGACTCCACAGAGGGATCTCCAGAAAGAGATCCTTCCCAGTGGCAGTCAGCCCTTAAATGCTGTCCAGGAGGTAAATTACCTTCACCTGTGCTCCCATGGCTGACTCAGTCCTTTCCTCAGGTGATCAATGAGTGGTTCAGGCTGTGACTCAAGAGTTCCTATACACCTTCGTAATACAGAGAAAAAACTATGGTACAAACCACAAATTGTCAGTGTCGTTAGAAATGGTAGGACATTTCCTGCAATGAAAAATAAAATCTATATTTATATCTAGATCGTATAAGTGAGTTGTTTCTGCCATTTTTGACTGACTTTGCAGAGAGAATTTAATTCTGAGCTACATATATAAAGATTTCCATTGACAAAGAAATAAATTTTGAAGTTGTTGTGTAGTCTACTGAGAAAATTTTTAACATTTACTTTGAAAAAGCAGGATATGAATTGAACGACAATGTGAAATCTGTCTGAAAAGGGTACATGTGGGCTTTCAGCCACCATCTGGTAAAAGGGCCAGAGTGAGTGCTGACTCCTTCACCAGCTATCAAGCACTGTGTGGGCTAATTTTCCAAGTCTTTGCAACACACAAAACTATGATAAAAGTTCACATTTCTGTGCTGCAGCGACATTTTTTTCCTTGAGAATTGCAGTTCTTATTCACATCTGTCTTTTTACAGTAATAACTAAGAAAAAAAGTGTGTGGCCATAACAATATGTCTCAGAGAATGGAATTGTTTGTTCTCAATGTGAAAACACTGTTTTCTTTTGAATTAGCTTTAGCAAAAAGGCAGCAATGAGACTACTTAGCATAGTGAAAAATCCCTTACCCCTGTTTATGTACTTTTGAAAATCCTTTATACTTCAATTCTCTGGATGCATGAAAACTATTTTAGGCACATAGGTTAACGATCTAGGCAAAGAAAATATTACCATCATGTACTCACCTTAAAATCTCTCTATAACAGCTTCTGCAATACCACACTTTCCCAGCACTTCTTTGGATTAGGCTGCAAAATTGATATTGTTAAAATATACAAAGAGCACAAATGATCTCAAAGAAAACAGAATTCTCACTGTAGCAAAGACTTCTGTGAGAGACTATTATATACTCCCTAAAATAAGACAAACCATTTGGGCCTATTCAGTCATACCACCTTTATTTCATAATTGCTGGAGCAATGCAGAAGACTAGAACTGAAGAATAATCAAGCTGATAATGAAATGAAACAACTTTTGGAAAGGTAAAAAAAAGTCTAAAATAACTCTTAATGCTCCACAGTACCCTACATAAAAAGTGCCCTACAGCACTTTCTCTTCTGAGGAGCAATAATGACTTCTGTTTGGTCACTGGAAGTTGTGTCACTGTCTCCAGATTTCAGCACTCTTCTCCTAGAAAGATAAATAGATATAAAAATTCACAAATGGTCCCATAGTCCAGTGTCCTTTTAAGAACAGGAAAACTCAGTAACTAATTATGATTACAGCTGTGTGTATAAAACAAATAGGACCAGGATCTCAATGTCCCAGGTTCCAAAACCATAGCTAACAAGCCTCCATAGCTGACTTATGTAAACATGGACATCATATCTAATTCCTCCAGAAAATGATGTTTTATTTTTCAGTTTAATTTCATTCACGTAAGCACAAGCATGTTTTTTAGCAACACCATCCTGGATTTCATCCTGTTGGTTTCAAATATGTGCAGAGGTTTTCAGCTGTGCTCACATGGGCAGATAAGCAGCAAGAATCAGAGAAAATTCACATTGAATACATAGAAGATAACCAAAGGAAGCAGCTGTTAGATTTGTTGATATAACTCTTTGTATGGGGATGATGATTCAAAGGGTGCTGTACTTCCAGCCCAGACACTCAGGGAGCAGATCTGCCCACTCTGCCCTGTGCGCCCAATTAGAGCAAGCTCATTTATCAAATGAATTGCTCTCCCACAATATACATGAGGACTGAGACGAAGGCAATGAAATATTCACAGAAATGCAGACAACTCCTGAAAAGTCTTTTTTTTTTTTTTTTAAATCCTACAGTCCCATTTTGAAAAGGAGCTGGAAATGTAAACCATGCTATTGTGTGACTCTTTCACAAATTAGCTCTCTGGGAATCCAAAATAGAACAGATTTATGCTAACAACAGGCTGAGGGAGATTACTTGCAAACAACAAAGGCAGCCTGGCCAGCAGTTTAGGCCTTCTCTTGTTAAGAAAATTTTCCCATCTGTAACTAAATCAATTAGTTATACCAGTGCAAACCCCTGATAGAGACATGCTGCACCAGCATGAATTGGGGCTTAAAGCCATTTAGGTTAATTCAATAAATCCTTGTCAGCATTGCTTTGAAGCAAAGGATACCACAGAAGCAAGAGTTTATCTGGGGTAAAGGGACTGACTGACATGTAGGTAGGTATCAAACTGTCATTCTGGCCACAAGCATGTGCAGCTGGGAGAATTTATGTGGTAGGTCTGATGCGGATCTCATCTCAGGCCTGTGTAATGAAGAATGACGCTCTTTCTCTTGCAGCCCTTTCTATTCAATAACTGATCTTAAACTAATTTTCAAACACTTTAATCTCAAGATGTAACATGACAATTATAAATGCTGACCCTTAACGCACCCTCCCTTCTGTAATAACACCAGGCTGTCATCTTTCTCAACGTCTCTGCCTTTCCAGCCCTCCCTTTTCCATGTGGCAGCCCAGCCAGCTCAGCCACTTTCTTCCTTGTTAGCAAAAGCACCTGGTGTTTGTGGAAAGGCGAAACTCAATCCACATGGTGACTACGTGAGGTGGGTCCTTCCTCCTAACAGCTTGCTCATTCAGAGATGTGCTCTGGACAGGCCATCAGTAGAGGCACAAGATCAAGTAGCTACAGCAGTGGAGTGCTGCAATTCCCCTCATTGATCTGACATGGTCGCTGGCCAGAGCTCGGAGAAAGACAGCAGGATGTCAGAGGCAGTATAAGAAGTCTCATCTTTTATGTGTAAGCTCTTTTGTGTTGCTTTGCTGGCTGCGTAAGAGTGTTTGTTTAAACTGACTGCTTTTCCAGAGTCTCTAAGTACCTGCTGTTCTAGGGAAAAACAAATAATATTTTTTAAAAATGCACAGAATGTGGATAACTATTGTGTTGTTATTTACTGATGTCACCTACAGCCACCCCTATATTAAACACTTCAGTTGGTTCTTACAGAAGTAGTTCTTGTTCTCTGGGTTGTATAATACAGTGTCCACTGGAAAATTTATGTATCTGAAAGCAAAACCCTCTTCTGAAATTTGAATTTCAACACAAAAAACTCTTGTCTGATACTTGTTATACATCAGTCCTCCATGTGCTGCCTCCATCAGATGCTTCTACTGCCTGGGGACGTAGGGTTGGGAGCCTCCTGAGACACAGTTTGTGTCTATGTGCCATCAAAGACACCATATCAAATACTTTTTCATAACAAATCAATCTGCAGTCTGAAATTAATAGATTTCTGTTCCACAAGGCAAATGTTTCTGGACCAGAGCTCCCCAGTTTGCAGAGCTGGTGATTAGAAACCCAGTTCAGGTTTGCAGGACAAAATATACCTGTGTTAAATAAATTCTGCTTTGGATCTACTTGTCAGAGTGACATTTTCCAGCATTTAAAATAGCTTTTTCCCCTCCCTTGTTTGTGTCTATTTTCTCTCCTCTGCCTCCCTATATTTGCAGGAATCATGTCCTTTGTAAGACTTCATTTTGCTAAGCAAAACTATTCAGGAAGGTGTTGTGTCCTGTAGTTACATAAGCTCTCTGTGGCCCCTAATCTGCCTCACAGTCCACTATGCACCTCCTTCATGTTGCATCATTTTTTTCTTGCACATGTGCCCACACTGTTTTCCCCATGATACAGCCCCCACACATGCACTGCTACTTCACAATGACTTTTGGAATTACTGCACCTGAAACAGCTTCCAACTTATTTTTTCACACTAATTTACAGGGTGATCCCATTGCACCGCCACTGGTGAGGAGGCAGCAATCTGTGGCACGGAGAGAAGAACGAGTGCCCTGTGCAGTGTTGGAAGAAAGGCACAGAGGTGACTTTACTGCCAAACAAAACACAGAAGAAATTTAATTTTCATACTCACCTGTGATCAGAGAGTAGCCTCAAGTCTTTTCCTTCTCTTCAGCTGTTTCCAAGACACAGGTTGCTAGTTCTTGGCAGAAATTCTTGCTGGTCTGAGACTGTGTGACCTTGAACTTTGTGCTATTAAACTTTATCCTTTTTTTTTTTTTCCTGCCCTCAGTGATCCAGCTGGTCCTGTGTGATATTTTGATCCTCCTCTGCAAAGGCAATGCCACTCAGCTTTGTGTCACTAGCGTAATTTATCAGTTCACTTCCACTCTTGATCCTCAGGTTAAAAGTAAAAATTCTAAATAAGTTTCTGTCACTCTCTTGTTCCACATTCACCAGGGCCATCAAGGTCATGCCCACTTCAGTCAACTTCTGCCCACCTTATGCAACTCATCAATTCATATCAACCACCCACCTCATTCTCTCATTTAACTGGATATTAATCACTGAGAATACAGGGGAAAAAAAAAAATTGGATAGTCAGCAACTGATAAATTGATCCTAATAATGTACCGTCTTTTGGAACATTTTTTTAATGTAAAATACAATTAAAAATGAGGAAATAAATGTAAATAATTATATCTTTATTAAAAGATTAAATGCAATGTCAGCCAAGGCAGATTGCACCTGATTCATTTGACACTCTTCTTGAGTGAAGAAATATTTTTTTCAGCAAAAATAAATGCAGTGAATATCATCTGCCTGGACTTCAGAAAAGGTCTTCATACTGTGTCATACAGCTAGTAAAGACTTGTTAGCATTTGCCATGTAGGCAGGGAGAGGGAGGAGGGAGTTAGCATAACTTCATATCAGTTAAAAATAACTGCAGAGACTAAGACTGCTTGGTTGAGTGATGCCATTTACCACAGGTTTAAATTACTGTGGAATTGTTTAAGCATTAGTTATCTGACTGCCACG